ACAGTGGTCCAAGACCATGAAGCTGGCCACAGTGGTTCAAGACCATGAAGCTGGCCACAGTGGTCCAAGACCATGAAGCTGGCCACAGTGGTCCAACACCATGAAGCTGGCCACAGTGGTCCAAGACATGAAGCTGCCACAGTGGTTCAAGACCATGAAGCTGGCCACAGTGGTCCAAGACCATGAAGCTGGCTACAGTGGCCCAAGACGATGAAGCTGACCACAGTTGTCCAAGACCATGAAGCTGGCCACAGTGGTCCAACACCATGAAGCTGGCCACAGTGGTTCAAGACCATGAAGCTGGCCACAGTGGTCCAAGACCATGAAGCTGGCCACAGTGGTTCAAGACCATGAAGCTGGCCACAGTGGTTCAAGACCATGAAGCTGGCCACAGTGGTCCAAGACCATGAAGCTGGCCACAGTGGTCCAAGACCATGAAGCTGGCCACAGTGGTCCAAGACCATGAAGCTGGCCACAGTGGTCCAAGACCATGAAGCTGCCACAGTGGTCCAAGACCATGAAGCTGGCCACAGTGGTCCAAGACCATGAAGCTGGCCACAGTGGTCCAAGACCATGAAGCTGGCCACAGTGGTCCAAGACCATGAAGCTGGCCACAGTGGTCCAAGACCATGAAGCTGGCCACAGTGGTCCAACACCATGAAGCTGGCCACAGTGGTCCAAGACCATGAAGCTGGCCACAGTGGTCCAAGACCATGAAGCTGGCCACAGTGGTCCAAGACCATGAAGCTGGCCACAGTGGTCCAAGACCATGAAGCTGGCCACAGTGGTCCAAGACCATGAAGCTGGCCACAGTGGTCCAAGACCATGAAGCTGGCCACAGTGGTCCAAGACCATGAAGCTGGCCACAGTGGTCCAAGACCATGAAGCTGGCCACAGTGGTCCAAGACCATGAAGCTGGCCACAGTGGTCCAAGACCATGAAGCTGGCCACAGTGGTCCAAGACCATGAAGCTGGCCACAGTGGTCCAAGACCATGAAGCTGGCCACAGTGGTTCAAGACCATGAAGCTGGCCACAGTGGTCCAAGACCATGAAGCTGGCCACAGTGGTCCAAGACCATGAAGCTGGCCACAGTGGTCCAAGACCATGAAGCTGGCCACAGTGGCCAGACCATGAAGCTGGCCACAGTGGTCCAAGACCATGAAGCTGGCCACAGTGGTCCAAGACCATGAAGCTGGCCACAGTGGTCCAAGACCATGAAGCTGGCCACAGTGGTCCAAGACCATGAAGCTGGCCACAGTGGTCCAAGACCATGAAGCTGGCCACAGTGGTCCACCATGAAGCTGGCCAGTGGTCCAAGACCATGAAGTGCCACAGTGGTCCAAGACCATGAAGCTGGCACAGTGGTCCAAGACCATGAAGCTGGCCACAGTGGTCCAAGACCATGAAGCTGGCCACAGTGGTCCAAGACCATGAAGCTGGCCACAGTGGTCCAAGACCATGAAGCTGGCCACAGTGGTCCAAGACCATGAAGCTGGCCACAGTGGTCCAACACCATGAAGCTGGCCACAGTGGTCCAAGACCATGAAGCTGGCCACAGTGGTCCAAGACCATGAAGCTGGCCACAGTGGTCCAAGACCATGAAGCTGGCCACAGTGGTTCAAGACCATGAAGCTGGCCACAGTGGTCCAACACCATGAAGCTGGCCACAGTGGTCCAACACCATGAAGCTGGCCACAGTGGTCAAGACCATGAAGCTGGCCACAGTGGTCCAAGACCATGAAGCTGGCCACAGTGGTCCAAGACCATGAAGCTGGCTCACAGTGGTCCAAGACCATGAAGCTGGCCACCGTGGTCCAACAATGAAGCTGGCCACAGTGGTCCAACACCATGAAGCTGGTCACAGTGGTCCAAGACATGAAGCTGGCCACTGTTCAAACAATGATGATGTCAAACCATGACTGGTCCAGTTTCAAGCCTTGAACTTGGCCCGTGGTTTTCCCAATCTTCATGTATACTGTCAGGTCAAACATAAGCTGGTAAAGTGTCTAAACCTAGCTGGACAGGTCTGTAACACCATAAGCTGGTCCAGGGACCATGACCATGCGCCCGTTGTCCAAGCTCTGGCCACAGGTCAGTACCTTCAGTGTAACATCATAGCTGGTTCAATGTGTCAACACACTAGCTTTGGTCACTGTGTCAGTACATACTCAATGTTAACATACTGAGTTTGCAAGCCATTCTGTACGTCATACTGGTTCAGGCAGTCTCTCTGTTCATACTGTTAACAGTCATCTCTTGTTCATACTGTTAACAGTATCTCTTGTTCATATGTTAACAGTCATCTCTTGTTCATACTGTTAACAGTCATCTCTTTTTCATACTGTTAAGCAGTCATCTCTTGTTCATACTGTTAACATCATCTCTTGTTCATACTGTACAGTCATCTCTTGTTCATACTGTTAACAGTCATCTCTTGTTCATACTGTTAACAGTCATCTCTTGTTCATACTGTTAACAGTCATCTCTTGTTCATACTGTTACAGTCATCTCTTGTTCATACTGTTAACAGTCATCTCTTGTTCATACTGTTAACAGTCATCTCTTGTTCATACTGTTAACAGTCATCTCTTGTTCATACTGTTAACAGTCATCTCTTGTTCATACTGTTAACAGTCATCTCTTGTTCATACTGTTATCAGGCATCTCTTGTTCATACTGTTAACAGTCGTCTCTTGTTCATACTGTTAACAGTCATCTCTTGTTCATACTGTTAACAGTCATCTCTTGTTCATGCTGTTAACAGTCATCTCTTGTTCATGCTGTTAACAGTCATCTCTTGTTCATACTGTTAACAGTCATTTCTTTTTCATACTGTTAACAGTCATCTCTTGTTCATACTGTTAACAGTCATCTCTTGTTCATACTGTTAACAGTCATCTCTTGTTCATACTGTTATCAGGCATCTCTTGTTCATACTGTTAACAGTCGTCTCTTGTTCATACTGTTAACAGTCGTCTCTTGTTCATACTGTTAACAGTCATCTCTTGTTCATACTGTTAACAGACATCTCTTGTTCATACTGTTAACAGTCGTCTCTTGTTCATACTGTTAACAGTCATCTCTTGTTCATACTGTTAACAGTCATCTCTTGTTCATACTGTTAACAGTCATCTCTTGTTCATACTGTTAACAGTCATCTCTTGTTCATACTGTTACATTTCCTTTTGACGATTTCGGCTCTCAGTGCCTCCACAACCCGGTTCCAGACTAGACTTCCCGGTTACTGGTCTGATCGACCAGGTTGTTGGTGCTAGCCGCACGCAGGGCAACGTGTGCACTGCAGCCTGGCTGATCAGAAATTTATTTGAGGAACTTATAAAGTATCCTGTTAAAGACAACTGAGAGTTTGCTAGTAATATTACGCTTTAATATGAAAGGAGTATATTGAAGCGTCTTGGTTACTTTACACTTACTGGATTATCTTAGTGTACTCACTACATCCCCCCTTGTTAGTGGAGGTATTTCGCACCACCTGACAAGCCTTTTTCTCTGGTAAGGAATGACTTTGTGCAGATTTGGGACCAGTTTCCCTGGAATATTCTAGGTATATAGTATGATGTATTTTTCTTGCGCCTACATTCCATGGAGTCCAGTTCGAGGATTTCACGCATTTCCAGTTTGTAATATACACAATGAGCATCAAAGCCGTATGAGTATTCAGCTGTGCTTAGCTAATTTATGGTATGTAGGATATACAAGGAATATCCTACACATTTTATTTATTATGTTCCACTATTATCATGTAATTATAACTATTTTTTCTTCCGATTTCTTTAATAATCGTTAAGATAAAATTTAGTCGGATTTTTAACCTAGAGGGTTAGCCACCTAGGATAACTCAAGAAAGTCAGTGTGTTTTTGAGGACTGTCTGTTTTATTTCCATTGTGATCCTTCAATCTTGTCCCCCAGGATGCGACCCACACCAGCCGGCTAACACCCAGGTATCTACTTACTGTTAAGTGAACAGGGACAGCAGGTGTAAGGAAACACGCCCGATGTTTCCACCCGTGCCGGGGATTGAACCATGGACACTAAGTGTGTGAGGCGAGAGCGTTGCCAACCGCATTATATTATGTTGATATATTAATTATAAAACGTCCTTTTTAATAATATGACCACTGGTTTTATACAGTAATATGTGTATCTCTGTGTACATACACAGAGTTTAACCTCTGTTATGTGGAATAGATGGCTCATGATATTAAGTGTAGAGGTGTATTGCAATTTTGCAGTTTTAATAACCCACATACAGTCAATAGAACTTAAACTTAATGAGCTAACATATTTTTATATTATATATCATATTAAGGGGAAACACAAAACCCTTATGGGCCATACTGCGCCGGGGGAATGGGAGATAAGATAAGATAAGATTTCGTTCGGATTTTTAACCCCGGAGGGTTAGCCACCCAGGATAACCCAAGAAAGTCAGTGCGTCATCGAGGACTGTCTAACTTATTTCCATTGGGGTCCTTAATCTTGTCCCCCAGGATGCGACCCACACCAGTCGACTAACACCCAGGTACCTATTTGCTGCTAGGTGAACAGGACAACAGGTGTAAGGAAACGTGTCGAATGTTTCCACCCGCCGGGAATCGAACCCGGGCCCTCCGTGTGTGAAGCGGGAGCTTTAGCCACCAGGCCACCGGGCCACATAATAGTCCCCTTCAGGGAAGGGTAAGATAACTCCAATTCCTTGGATCACAGGCCCTTTACCAACATAAAGGTAACCCCCATTAAGGGTTATATTTTTTATGATGATCATGAGAGTGATGGAGGAGAAACAGGGAAGTATAATGACTTGTGTCGCCTCTTGACCTCTGCTAACTTGACGCGCAACTCACGCGCATTTCACACGAAAACAAATATTTATATTGTTCTCTTTCCCTGCGTTTCACGCTTTAACTGTAACTTGATAACATTAATCTTAGCTAATATTTGTAAGTTTAAACAAAAATAATCACAAATGTTAATATATTTCGGTGTCAGTATCTTTTAGGAAATGCAATCCAAACAAAATTAATGGTTAAGAAGAGAGTCCGAAGGTCCTGTTCGAAGATGTTTGTGGAAAATCGATAACTTGCTAGTCTTTACCTCGTTTTGCAGTATGTTGGCACTAAATACCACTTTTTAAATACACCCTGCGCACATAGAAGGAAAATCTAAGTGAATTTTGGGGGAAGAATGAACAGAAATCAGTGAAGAGTTAGGGAGCGATCAGCAACGGGAAATGACAATTGAGCACCCGCATCATCATTGTCCCCTCGTCTTCTGATTTCTGTGGCTCCCGCCCCCGCTAACTGTACCAAAGATGGACAACAGTGAGTATCTACATCACACTTGTGCTTGTTTCTTCCTGTGGAGGCCAGGTGAGAGCTGACACGGGCCTCCCTGCCCTCTGTGCCCTCACATTAGGGTATGTTGCGTCAGTCACCACTACACTTATTATAATGACAGGCTGGCAATTTAGCTACATTACTCTTCTCATATGAGGGAAAATGGTCTCCAGAAGATGATATATTAATGATTTACTTAATTACAATAACTGAACAACTTGACATAAGAACGCATATATTATACTCCAATGTTGCATAACATTTGGGTTTAGGCCTTGTTTTTTAACATAATAGTTTCTAACGTGATTGTCTTATTTTACTGATATTTTGTGTTTGCTACAAGAAAGGCTTTCAGATGACACTTGTGATATAATGAAAAATATGAAAGTGCAGTATTACTGAACAAAGCAATTTTGTAAATTTATAAATGTTTTTTGGGGATAATTTACAAGCAAATAATATTTGTTCCATTAAGTGTCATACATTAATATATAGATATTTTTTGAATTTTATGATTTTGTGAAATCTGTATGATTATAAATTTATTTAGGGAATCTGAAATTGAAATGAATACTGGTTATTTGTATTGTATTCTGTATGCAGATTTCATCATGAAAAATTATGTTTTTTATTTAGAGTATTTAGTTTCATGATTTAACAAGATGTGCAATATTTACTCATGATTACCGATATCCCAGCTCTGTTTATCTGATTAAATTTTGTTGTGCAGTTAAGCAAACCTTTTGGCCCTTTGGGATTTAAACCCTATTAAGTTCTTTTTTAATAGAGTGATAACTAAAAATCTAAATTTGAAATGAAATGTTTCAGTGCTTATGCATAGTACTCCATGGCAGTAGATGTTATGAGATCATTATTACAAGATGCTAAGCTGTTTAAATAGCTGGAACTCTATATAGGCTGCTAATATGCTTTTAAACTTGCTCCCTGACAAAATCTCTAATAAATAATGAGTACAATATCTTACATTTTTTGTACTGCACTGGTGCAGCAATGATATATTTTGAAATTGAACCACTAAAATTCATAGTTCAACTTGTTATTTAATGTTGGAAAAGGCATTGGTTTAATTGAGATTCAAGAGTCTCACTTTGTTGTTGAATATACAGTCTGAAATTTTACACTGGGGTAAAGAGGATTGCACATATTACCAAGATTTGTTAAGAGCTGGTGACGTTTTCTTGGTTATATTACGTACTAAATTATGATGATACTCCTTAAGCAATTAAGAGGTTAATAATTAATAAAACATTTATTAATAGTTAACCCGTGGTTATTTTGTGGGAGGCCTTTATATTAAAATGAACTAAATGTTACCCAGTATAACCTAAGAGTGTTATTTTTTAAGGGGTACAATAGTTTGTTTCCATAAAGTGTTTGTGGAATTTAAAAATAGAGACAGCATAGCATTATGTAGTAGAATTAAAAGCAGATAAACAACATATGAGAAGAGATTGGTAAATTCTGATATATTTTGACTAACTTGAAAATCAAATTGTGGAAAGTCAGATCAGTGATACAGTATTGTACAGTACTGGAATATGTTATGAGCATACAATTATAACAAGTCCATACAGTATCTGTATCATTTCAAACTTATAATGTTTATAGAAATTATTAACTGATCTGACTGAATTTACCTCACTATGTACAGTACAGTACCACAAAATTGATCTCTTTGTGAGATAGTCAGTTATGCAACATTAAACAAACAAAACATTTGACAGTATAACCTACTTCAGTATTACTAAGGGTTATTTCATGCAGTGATAATTTAAAATAATTAGTTAATAAAATACTATATAAATAAAAGTTGTATTGAAAACTAAATCATGTAGTTTAATCTTTGCAACTTACTCGCCATTGCTTGACGTTTGCTGTATTGGATAAACAACTTCAGATCATTGGTTAGTAACCAGACTTTTGTAAGTAGATCCCATGTACAGTATAGTAAATAAATTTGCTCACTAGATAATGAGCTATAACTAAATGCATGTGATAATGTCTTTAGTGATAAAATTATCTTTCATATAGTCATAAAGTATAATCCTGCAGTGTTTAGCAACATTAACGTTACACAGGACGATATCTATACATAGTATGAAATAATTACCATTGTAATTTGCTTGTTTTAGCACCATAATTATATACAGTATTGTCACTTAACACTAAAAATACAGTACTGTAATAAGAAATAGAATACTGTACCTGCACATAGTTCTTGAGTGATAGTTACCATTTAATGTTTGTGATACTGGTAATGGACTTGGACATTGTGGTTTTTAAACTTGCACAGTTGAAAAGTTTTAGTATACAATATTAGATGTATACAGTATTTCAGACACCATTGTATGGTCATCAGTGTATACAGCATTTTACTTGGCTGTTTAGTAGTACTGTATAACAACATAGAGCATTTCATGCATATTTATAACTACTATAATAATTATTCTTGAAATAGAGAAAAAGTGACTTATAATACTGTATAGGGTGTTAAATAATCTAACTAAAATTTTTCTTTTGTGCTGGGTTGATATTGCATATGATGATAATCGGAAAATCTCTTCACGTAAATTTTTCATTGTTGTTCTTTTAATTGTCACTCGGAAAATAGGCACTTGCATGGTGATTATATACATTTAAGTGTTTTTTGTACATTTCTGATTTGTTTAAGTTTACCCCAGTCACTATATTAGAATTGAATTTAGATACAGGTGCTAATTGTAAAAGGAATTCTCAAGTTAGATGATGATTTGAAATACTATAATGAAAGTATATTGTATAGCTCTTGAGTCTTTTACGATTAAGTAAACTTTTGAATTAGTAGCCTGGTTGGCACCACTTGATCATAGAAGTACTGCTTTTGGAAAGCAGAGTTGTTCCTTTCTGTCATTGATAGCTCTTTGCTACACACACATTGCACTGCCACCATTTGATTGGCCCATTTTTTCCAGCTTTAGATCACCTTTTAAATAATTACTGTAGTTTGCATTATTTTTTTTAACCCCCTGCTTGTGTGATTCTATTTTTCATGTATCTTTTCTGTTTTCTCATACTCATGAAGTTTCTTGGAAAATAATACTCATTCTTTCGATAGAGGAAACTTGGATCACGACCTCCGCCAAGTGCCAGATAAACTAGACTGTGATAAGTGGGTCAGAGACACCCTGACTGAACAAGCAATCAACAGATAAGCCTGGTCCAAGGCCAGCCGTGAAGGTTGAAAAACTCTCGATACCAGTCACAGATATAGAAACAACACAAGCCTTCCCCACCATAGCTGCACTCCTGCCTTGGGAAGACAAGTGATAAATACATTTGTCTCCTAACTTTCTTCAGTTTAAACTCTTACTGAAAAACCCTAAATCTTACCATTTACATTCCTTGAAACTGTATCACTATCAAGATGTTAGCTCAAAGTGACTGGGGTGGATGATTTGCATATTCCCATGCTCCATTACTAATTTTTAAAACATTACAAAATACTTACAATACCTTAAGATCTAGAGTTGTCTGTACTTGTTAGTTTGGCTAGTGTTTTGTATAGCCCATTTGGGTTTAACACTTACCTGTGAATATAATTGTAATTTTGCAATTATTTTTGCTGTTGGAGGAGCTTTTCCACTACTGATTCTTTACTACATTGTGATGCTGTACATTTGTAATGCCTCTACTGAACACTGACTTGTGTCCATCTTTTTCATCCTAGTTCAAGTTTGACACTGGTGATATCACATCTTTTTTCAGGCCCATTATTTTGGCCTTCGTAGCCTATTATAGTACCATTTTCTCTAAAGACATTGTTCACAGACAAATTTGTGTTCTACTTAATAAGAGCCTTTTTGCAAACTTGGTGTGCAGTACTTGGTCTGCTATACCTTGTTTTTAATGAGCATAAATGGATGCTCCTTAATTCTTTCACAGGCTTTGTTCTAACCTGTATGTGGATGACTTCACCATTGCCTATGATGGTATGGCCAAGTCAGAATTTTGCTGCCTCATTACAAGCCATATTATATGGCTCCAGGTTCTTTATATCCAAAGTAAATTCTATAACTTTCAAACAGTGCCTTATCCTTTCCCATTTCTGTATATTTCTATTTAGGGATGGAACAATGCCAAATTTTTTGTCAGTGCCAATAGGCAGTTTTAGGGCAATATTGATACCTCTACTTTTTCATTAATTTTTATTTTTAAACCTTTGGTAACTGTGTTCAGTGTATAAGATAATGCTTATTGCTCATTAGGCATTAAATAACAAAGGAGCTTAAATATCAGATGACTTAATTGCTCTGAGATGTGAATGTCATTATTAATTACAGGCACCCCTCTGTGATACTTACAAATAGAAAAAAAGAAAACAAAATATCAAAAGCCATCTACAATCCAGTACTATTTAGTAATCTAATTATGACATAATCCAAAATCATTTATGAAAATAGAAGTTTGAAACTTTCCTGTTATATTAAACGTGAAGCTTAAACATCTAACACTCATAATATTCTTTATTGAAAGCTTTAAAAAATAATATAATATTGTTTATTTTAAATTTTAAACATGTTATGATATTGTTTATTTAAAGCTTTGAAAAATATTTTGAAAGTTGAAAAAGCACATTATTACTCACGAAATCACAAAAACACGATTGCAGACAAACAGAACGGGTGGGGCTTGAATCCATTATAAGCAAGTGCTAAAACTTGCAAGCCAGTGTGTTATCCACTGGACCATACCAGCCTAATAAGATGCATCCAACTAAGTATATTTCTATTCACCATAGGAAGGGTAGCATGGTCCCCACTGTGATCACACATGCAGGTTTTTACTGATGAATTTCACACCATGGTTATGGCATGCTCTAGCTCAAGTTCCCCTCAAAGCCACCATTATGACTTACGAAAATGTAATAACATGATTGCAAACAAATCTCACATCAGGTGGGGCCTCAAACCCATGGGAAATGAGTC